GAGGCATCACTGCAGTCAGGTTAACACAAGGCTGCACAAATGTCAGCCAGTTTTCCTAGTAATGTGTTGTACATGGGAAGAGAAGGTGACCAGCTCTCACATTTCAGTACTGGACTGTCTCTGTTACCATTCCCCTCTCCCTGTCCAACTCCAAATGATTGCCACATGTTTGAGGCTTCCATGAGCTACCACCTCAATACAGAGGTGAAATACCTGGTCTTCCTTTCCTGCTCTTAGCCCTATTTTTTGCTCTGTTTTCCTGGAGGCACACAGAATTATCTTCCTGAGATCTTATGAGCTGTGAGTTTCCATGAAGATGGGGTAGGGCTGGAACTGGCTCTACCTCTGCTCTACCTTGTCCTCCTGACATTACAGCTCTTTCTCAAGTGCTTAGAAAAGAGGCAGAATTTGGTGGGCTTGGGTGACTGAGGGATACAGAGTGTCATTTTTCCCTTTTCCAGGCGTGACACAGAAGCAAGTCTGGAACTATTGCCTGAATATGGGGGACCTGAGCTCATCAGGTTGTCCCTCTGGCTTCCAGAGAGCCTAGATTAGACCAACTTGTGTTCAACCACAACAGTGTTTAGGATCCCAGCTCTGCCCTGGCCCATTCTCACAGTGCAGCACATTCTGTGTGTTCCCTGCTAGGGCAGCTGCTCTTCCTGCCTCTGAGAAGGCTGGGGGTGACCCAGCTGGGAAGCCAGCCACGTGTCTGGAGGCCTTTCGCCATCCCCTCTACAAGAGCATGTTCCAGTATCTCCTCCGCACCAAGTCTGCTCCCCAGGATGCCCCCGAGAGGTAGGAGCCTGCCTGGAGTGTGGTTCAGCCATCCAGCTCTGGGAGGCAGCACTGGGATTACTGGGAATGGCACAGCTGCTCTGAGCTGGTCTGAGGTGGATTTCTCTCCCCTCTGTCAGCTTTGCCAACACTCAAAGGCCCTGTGGGGAATAGGGAAGGGCAACTGGGAACAAACCTTCAACAGTCACTTTTCTTTTGCCCACAGTCTGGTTCCACTTCGGCAGCTGCTGGGATCCCTGGCTGGCAGCCCAAGGGTGGTGCAGTGTGCAGAGGCTGTCCCTGTCTTACTGGAGCTCTTTTTCAGGGTGGTGGCAGAGGTGGGTCCTTTTGGGGAAGTTTGGTTCCCAGTTATGCCACAGGGATCTCTTGTTATGTGAAGAGCAGTCATAGCAGCAAAATTGTGAAGATGCTGCAGCTCCAAGAGAGGGGTGCATGAGGGGAGGGTGGGATTGGTACTGGCATGAGCCAGCACTGAACTGGCCACTTGGTCCAGAGGAACTGAAGAGCTCAGTGGAGCAGTGTCAGGTTCACTCTGTGCTCTCAGCCAGCTGTAAAGGAGAGAGATAAGAGCACAGTGAGAGCCTGATACCTGCTTTGTGCACTGCTCCCCTCCTAGATCAGGCAGTTTCTCTGCCAGCTCTCACCTGGCTGGTTATTTTGGGGTTTGACTGCTGGATGTCACTGGTACTGCTGAAACAAGGGCTGGCTTTCAGTTTGCAGATGAGTCTCTGATAAACCAGCTGGTGGTGCTGCTGCTGCAGAGGAGTGACCAGCTCTATGAGATCCCAGCGTTTAAAGAAGATGTGTACAGGTGAGATGAGACAGGAGGCACAGCCCAGCTCCCAGCCCTTCCTCCTGGCATCCCAGGGCAGCCCAGGAGCCTTTTCAGTTTTGGCCCAGTCCCCACTGTGACATATCTTTGAAGGGTGCAAAATGGGGGCTGCACCTTCATCCCAGCTGGGAACATACTGAAGATACAGCCCTGTGCCAGTGGCTGGGTGCTGCCAGCCCCTCCTGGCTTTGGGCATCACCACCTTGCCTGGTCTGAGCTGTGCCCTTCTCTCTGCTCCAGGGTGCTGGGCTCCCAGCTGGCAATGCTCTGCAGGCTGCGCCCTGCACTTGTGGTGGAACTGTCCACGGAGATCCTGGAGTTCTCTGGAGCTGTCAGCAACATCCAGAGCAAGGAGGCCATCTTCACCCACATGGTGAGCAGGGCTGCCACAGCTGCTCCAGCTGCACTCTGCTGCTCACCTTCCCTCTCCTCCTCTCTCCTAGCATTAGCTAACCTGATTTTCTATTCCCTAAAAATCATTCCATTCCCTTTTCCTGTGCTTCCCTGTGTCCTGGCCCCAGGTGTGGGCTATCGGTGAGTACCTGTCGGTGTCCTACGACAAGCGCTGCACAGTGGAGCAGATCACGCGCTTCTTCGAGACCCTCGAGGCTGTGCTCTTTGAGATCACCCAGCTCCGGCCACAGGCCAGCACCCCCAGCTGTGCCCCTCGTGCCATCAGTGTCCTCATGGCCACCTTGACCAAGCTGGCAGCCCGCAGCCAGGACTTGATCCCCAGGTGAGCACTGGCAAAGGGTTGAAAGGTGCAGGTCTCGTGGGTCCGAACGTTGATTTGGTGGTGGTAATTAATAATTGAGGCTGGCAACTGAAAAAGGACAGAGGCGAGCTGTGGAAGGGAACAGTTTGGAGGAGTGGGATTCATCTGCTGGCTGATGTTCTCTCACCTGCACTAGTCTGTTGGAGTTTACACACTTAAGTAGTGATCTCTCTGGGTGAAAATACCTTTCTGATGTCTGTGTCCTCTCCTGCAGAGTGTCCATGTTCCTGTCCAAGATGAGGACATTTGTGCAGAGCCCTGCTGTCACCTCTGTTTACTGCGAGGAAGACCTTGAGGAGATCCTCATTCGAGCAACTGAGCTCATGAACCTGCTGAAAATGCCCAGCGTGGCTCAGTTTGTGTTCACCCCCCCCATGGCCAGCACACAGTTTCAGAGGGACGTGAATGACTCTCTCCCTTTGGCCCTGAGGATGGTCACCCAGCTCCTGGAGCCTGCTCCAGGCTCCATGCCAGTGTGAGGGCAGGAGGTTTCTGGAGTAAATCACTGGACATTGCTGACACTCAAGGCTGAGGCCCTAATCTTAACTGGAAAAGAGGAACAAATGTTTGTGAATGAAACAGAGAATAGGAATAAGGAGAGCTGAGGCTGTTTGTATTTCTGTGTCCTAGTGCCTGTTGCTTTTTTATCTCCTAAGCTTGTCTTATCCCTTCCTGGTGAGCACGCATTGAAAATCCCGGTGGATTTGTGCAAATGTTGCAGGAGAGTGAATGGTGCATTAATACCCTGCCAGCACACCCTGTTCCTTTGGAGGGAGATGTATTTCTCCCCTCCCCTTTGCTCTCACTACACCTGCACGTGCTGCTTTTCTTGCCTCTCCTTGCAGGAGATCAGGCAAAGGCCTGTGTCAGGAGGAAGCAGGACTGACTCCACCACATCTGGGAGCCCTCACCACTGGAGTGAACAGGGAGAGATCCAAGAGACAGCTGCCAGAGCAGGGCTTAGAGAGATTTATTGATCCAGTTTATTGTTGACACAGAGCATTTCTTAACATCCATCGTATCCGACAGGCGCCATGCTGTGCTCAGTATCTGCACCAGAGCTTTATACACATCTCGGCTGTACAGTATTAACACAGGGAAGTCAATCCATCCCACTGCTCCTCCTAGGAGAAGCCAGCCCTCATGCACACTAGTAAATAGCAGGGTTTATTTACAGTCTGTTTCCATACCTGACTGCACTGTGAGTGACACACAGCTCTGGGGCTGTTTTCCAGCTCCAGGGGTGCTCAGTGGGTTGCGCTGGTACGGCTGCAACGTGCCAGGATGCAGCCCCAGCACTGTCTAGTGCAAACCACACCTCCCCACCATGCCCTGGCTCCGGGGCAGAGGGGAGTAAGGAGTGCATGCAGTTTGCCCAGGGACTTTAGGAAGCCCATTTCAAGTTCTGTGGAGGATGACAGGCCAGCATACCTACTTGACTGAAAGTGAAGTGAATCACCAGGAGCCCTGAGTCTTTGCTCACCTGCCTGTTAGAGCTGAGTCAGTAGCAGGAGGATGCACTGCTCCCAGTCTGTGCTGGGGCAGCACTGCATGGCCCAGCAGAGCAGCAAGGCACTCGTGTCTTAGAGAAGGTGCCTGGTCCTTCTTGCCTAGAAAAGCAGGCCAGGCTGTGTTGAAATCCAGTAGTGGAGCATTTCCCTTGCATGGAGTGTTTTGACATCTCTCTCCTGCGACGTGCAAGACTGAGCACAGGAACCAAAACTGCAGCAGCGAGGCGTAATTAAAGCCAACCCTGTTTTAGCATCACAATCCTCAGAGCACTGTTGTGAGATGCCATGTGAGTATCTGATCCACTGCCAGAGCCTGGACCGGGCAGGGTGTGATGGAGGGCTTTGCTGCAGGCTGTTTTAATAGGGTTCGGCTAAACTAGGTCTCAGTATCTGTCTATATGCGGAAATCAGGTCGGGTTTATCCCGTTAATGGTGCTAAAAGCAGAGGGAGGACTCGGCGGGCAGGAGCCGGCTGTGCGGGGCCCCGGGCAGCCACACGATGGAGCTGAGCCCTCGGCTGAGCCGACACCGGGGTCTGCAGCAGGAGCAGAGCGGTTCCTGGGTTATTCACAAGTGTCCTCCCAAAGGGAGTCTCTGCTGTCCATCATCACCTGTAGACATTTCAGCAGCACGCTCCTGGGAGATGCTCCGAGCAGGGCACGAAACAGGATGGCCTTGCCTGGGCTGGGGAAGCTGGAGCGGGAGGAGCAGGACATGGTGCCGAGCTGTCATTTGTCTGCCTGGGCTGGTGGCAGTGCCGAGTGCTGCTGGGTCACTCCGGTTCCTGGTGGCACCAGTTCTCTGTGGGAATATTCTGCCATCAGTCCTGGCAGCCTTCAGCTGGGATTGTGGTGCCAGAGCCGGGCAATAAATCTGCGGAGCAAGAGCAAGGGAATCCTTCTCTGCAGGGAGCTCTCACAGGAGCTGCTGGTGGTGTCAGCCCTTTGCTGTAGCTGCTTCCCATCCTGAAGCAGGGCTCTAGCCCAGCAGCAGAAAGGCACCTGAGCTAGTGTATGGCACCAGGGGAATTAACTCCTGGCAATGCATCCTGTGTGGGATCCCACTCCCGGGTGCTTGTGCTGCCTTCACCACCCCCAGAGCTGGGCACACTTTTCCAGCCTGATGTGCCAGCACCTCAGGTGGCCACTGCCACAGCGCAGCCCAGGCCTGCCCTACGTGTTCTCTCCAAAACCCAAAGGTATTTCAAACCTTCTGCATGCCAGCATAAAATATCACACAGGGCTGCCAGCCTAGAGGAACAGAGGAGCCTGCCTACAAGTCCCCATGGTGGGAGCACTCCCTTCCCTCCCCCTGCCAGAGGGGACAAAGGAACAGGAAAACTCTTGAGAAGGATGGCGCTGGGTATCAGGTGAGGGTGGGCAATGGATCAGGAATTATGCTCCCAGCCTGTGCAGTGGGAGAAGCGTGCACCATCCTTGCGTGTCCTTTCATCTGCTGCAGTGCAGGGGCAAAGTGTCCAAAAGCACATTGAGAGCTGTTGTGGAGTCCTGGTCCTCCCTCTTGCACTCCAGACTCCCTGAGGTCAGCCTTTACCAGAGCTGTAGCCACAAGCTGCTGCAGAAGGATCCTTGTACCACAAGGACTAAGAGGAAGAGGAGCTGGAACTGATTTTTTTGGCTATTTCAATGTCCGACTTGGCAACCAGAAACCGCAGCTTTTTCCCTCCGGAGCGGATGAGGTCCACGGCACTGCAGGGAGCAGCAACAGGGACAGAGGTGAGTTCTGGTTCCCTCAGGAGCCTGCTGAGCCATGGACATTCACTAAACACCCCCCTTTGCCAATCACCCTGCTCAGGGCTACAAGCAGGGGCTGTTTCTCTCCTGCCTGTAGCTTTGTGGAGGGCTTGGCCTCCAGGTTAGTGGTGCCAGGACAAGGGCAAACAAGGCCAAACCTGCTCTGTGCTGTGGGCACCTGGACTCTGCCTCTGAGCTGCCCCATCCCAACACCTTCGAGAGGAAACCTGGGGTGGGATGGGGCTGCAGCATTGCATTGCTGAAATGCACCTCTGGAGCTCTATTTATTTCCCATATATGCTTCCCAGTTCTTGATCCATAATCCCTCTTCCAAACCCACAGCCTTGCCCCCTCTCTGGTGTCCTGTGCAGGTCACTCCTCTCTCTGCAGCTTGCTGGTACCGCAGCATCCTCAGGACTGCAGCGCTGGCAACTCTCGCAGCAAAACAGCCAGAAACCTGGACCTGACAGTAACTCCTGCAGTGCTGGTACCACCCCAGGCCCTCTGGAGAGGTGAGACTCACCTCTGGTAGTCTGCCCCGATGAGGCTGGTGCCGTTGACAGCCAGGATGCGGTCCCCGATGGAGAGCCTGCCATCGGCAGCCGCGGGGCTGTCCTCGATCAGGGTGCGGATGTAGATCCCCGGGGAGCAGAGAGGAGTGTGCTGTTGGCAGGGGAAGGCAGTGAGTGAAAAAAGGGACACAAAGATTGATGTGACCCAAAGGGCTGAGCTTCCCAGGCAGGGTAACTCTCCCCCAGGGCTCACAACCAAGCCTGGTGGCAAAGGGGACCTTGGAAACGCTTAGGAACGTGATGGGGATGGTGCTAACAGTAACAGGAAGGAAATGCAATCCTTTAGTTATATATCAATTTATACACAGGAGATGTGGGGGCAATCTGCTCTTGTTCAATTTAATTAAGAGTAAAGAAAGCATCATTAACCTGCTGCCGTGTTGGGATGGGAGCTCTGCTCACCCTGTCCCAGGCCTCGGTGATGCTCTGTTTCCTACTGACCATTTAAAAAGATGATCCACCCCACAATGCCAGATTTCTCCTTATGCAAGGGAGGAGCTGTTTTGACACCCTGTAAGCCTCTCTGCTCTTCTCTGCTTCTCCTGCCACCGCTGAAGGGTGGAGGAAAGACCTCGGCTGAGTCATTCTCCTTCCACAAGAGAGCTGAGGGTGTTTGCTCTTCCCAGCTGCAGGACAGCTGTGGACTTTGCATGCAGAGCACAGTGACCTAAGAGTAAAGATCCACTGAGAGATCCCTCTGTGCCTCCTTGTCCCCAGGAGAAGCAGCCTAGCTCCCGTGAGATGCCATCAGCTTCTTGACTGGCTTTTCTTGGGGTATAAACCACGTCCCACATGTCCCACTCCAGCTGTGTGAGGGGCAGCAGCTGAGAACTCACCACACCATCGATCAGCCCCATCCCCAGCCCGATGGGTCCCCTCTCCAGCTCCACCACGAAGACGTAGCAGAAGTCGTCGGTGGCAGAGCTGCGGCTGGAAGACTCCGGCGTGGGGTAGTCATAGGGGGTCGGCGAGCAGCCTGGCAGCGGAGAGAGCGGCTTACGGCCCTGGCACGGCCCAAACCCAGCCTCACACCCCCGGGGCAGCGCCAGCTCTCGGTACCTTCGGGGGTGCTGCCCTTGGTGCCGTTCATCCCGTTCCTCCGGGGGTCCTGCGGCCCTTTGCCGGTGCCCTGCGGGGACCCCGGGCTCCCGGAGTCGAAGTTCAGGGGGGTGGTGGGTGGTGTCAGCAGGCACGAGGAGTCTGTGGGCGCCGTGCCGGCCTTGGGGACGGGGCTCCTGCCCAGCTGCAGCTGCTTGAGCTTCTCCTGGAGCTGGGGCTCGCCGGTGGGGGGCTCGCAGGGGCTGGGGGTCAGGCAGAGCTGGGGGGTCCCCTCCTGCTCGGCACAGCCGCCCAGGGAGCGATAATCCTCCTGGGCAATGGGGCTCCCCAGGGCGGCCACCGGGCCCTCGCTCACCTCCAGCACCTCCGGCGTCGTGCATGCCTCTTTCTTAAGAAGGAGGAAAATGCTGTGGAACCCCCTGAGTGCGCTTTTCACTCCCTACCTGTACCCCACCACCCTGCTGCTCTCCCGGCTGCCAGATCCATCCAAAGCCTCGGCAATTCAGACACTGCCAGGCTTGGCTTGGCTTCCCAGCATAGCTCCCAGCTCCCATTTGGTGGCTAGGGCAGTGCTGGGGATGTTACAGCCAGGCAGGAGAGGACTCCTGCTCATGTCTCTGCTGGGGGATCCCACTGGAAGGGGACACTGGGGTAGCACAGCTCCTCCTGTGCCACAAGGGCTGGGCAATGTGGCCCCGGGGTGACAGAAGGAGGCAGCGGTGCCTGTGCACGCTGCAGGGAATGGGGACAGGATGGGACAGGAGAAGGGGACCTGCTGGAGGGACAGCCTCCACATGGCAGTTGAGCTTAGCACCCACAGCACGTATCACCCTCCCTGTGCTTTACAGGCATTAGCTAATTAGTGCTTTTGCGCAAGCCTGGCTGCTGGGGACAGGCAGGGTGCAGAGCAGGGAGGACAGGGAACACACAGGGAGAACAGGAGCTCTGCCCACAGACATCTCCCCTTCCTCCCTGCTAACAAGATTGCTGGGAAGAGCCTGTCCTTCCAGCTCACCTTCCCTTGCCCCCCATGCTGGGGGATTAGCAGCACTAATCCTTCCAGAAGCTCTCCATGAGGGCGCTGCCACAGCTCCAGGCTGCAGGCGAGGGCAGCAAGCCCTTGGCCCTGGGCTTGGAGGGGTCTGTAGAGGGACCCAAGACCCTCCTGCCCATCCAGGAGAGGAAAACCCCCCCCGTGGGACACAGGCTACCTTTGGGAGTGCTGAGGCTGACCCCTCGCTGGTGTGGGGGCTCCTGCTCTGCAGGCTCCAGAGGAAGTGGCGGATGTAAAGGAGGTGTCTGTAGATGTTGTCATCCAACGTCTCCACCTCCAGGTCCACTTTGAAGCCCCCGCTGGGCAGGATGATGGGTGGGTGGTTGTCGAAGGACTCCAGTATCTCATCTGAAAGGCAGAGGGATGCAGGTTAGCACTGACTTGGGCTGCACCCCACTTCTGCCTCCCAGCTCTCAGCCAGTCTCCCAACTGGGATCAGGGATTCAGTGAGCTTGAGCCAGCAGCATCCCTCACTTGGGACAGCAGAAAAAGCCTCATGCACTTTGCATCCTTTGCAGTATCTGAATTTCGGGGTATGGTTATTACCAATTGCCCAGGAAGGGCGAGGGAATTACCTGTTTGGGTGTGACTGGAGCAGGCTGAGCAGGACTCACCGGGCTGGAAGGTGGCCGGGCTCTCCTCCTCGCTGGGCTGCCATGCTGAGATGCAGCCCATGTCCATCACTGCCTGGCACTGGCTCAGCACCCGGTGCAGCTGCGCGGGGCTCAGCGCGGGGAACTCGGCTCGCAGGGATGGCCAGGTCATCTGTGTGAGGAGACAGAGCAGGAGGCAAATGGCAGAGGTGAGAAGCTGCTTCCTCTGAGGAGCAGGAGCTTGCAGGGGGCACAGGAGGGAGAGGTCAGGCAAGATGGAGAGAACCAGAGCATCCTCTCCCGGGTACTGCCCACTGGGACCCTGGGGAAGGGCAGCTGGTGGCAGGTCACAGAAGGGACACATCAGTGTAGGGACCCCACAGATACTGAGCAGGAGCTCTTCTGCCCATGCCTATCCCAATGGCACGAGCCCTGGGCTGGGCATTGCTCACCTGCACCAGCTGGGAGCCAGGCATGGCCAGCAGGTTGGCCACGCTGGCGAGTTTGGCGAAGAACTGCTGGGAGAGCTGCTCGAAGCCAGCGCTGCGCAGCCATTCCAGGAGCAGCCTCATGCTGGCCCGCAGCTTCACCCCCTGAGACCAGTGGTAGCAGCCAAGAGAGGAGCCTGAGGAGGTAAAGCATCCATCAGCCATATGAGGGAACAGCCCCCCCTGTCCCCCAGCCCTGGGTTAATGTCCCCAACATCCTGTGCCTGTAATTCCTGGTGCTGGCTGGACGTTGCCTGGCACTTAAAATGGGGCAGCTGTGTTAATGAGGGCTAATGAGCACTTCAGGCTGCTCTAGTTTATTAATGAGCTGCCCCTATTAACTGCCCTTAGCCTCCTCTGCTCAGGCTAGAAGGGGCAGTGGAATGGGGATGGGATCCTTGTGGGGTTTAGTCTCTCCTGGGAATGGGGAGCTAGCAGCTGAGTCTGTGCTTGGCCTCCCTGTAACAATGCTGAGATCTGCCCATCTCTGGAGGACTGAAGGGTGTCCCCATAACTCAGTCCCCTACGCGTTACCCAGTTCAAGGAGGACTGACCCTTTTCCAGGAGCTGGTTGAAGAGCAGGGTGTTGGAGAAGAAGAAGAGGTAGGCGAACATCTGGGAGGTGATCTCAGCATGCACTTCGTACTGGTGGAGCAGATCCAGCACAGCCTGGTAGATGAGCACGACCCTGCGGAGCTCCTCGGGCAGCGGCGGGGTCCCCCTCCAGCTCTCCCGGCACTCGCTCTGGAAGGGGTTGCACTCCAGCAGGGCAGGGAGTGACACGTACAGACACTGCAGGGAGAGCAGCAAGCTCACAGCAAACTCACTTTATTGGGTTTTTCTATTTTTGCACGAGCCAAGCCTTTCCTTCAGCTCCTCAAGCCAAGCAAACCTTGCCAGTGCTGCTCCAGCAAGGAGTTGCTCCTATTCACCCCCTGCCTCCATGGGCTCCAGTGTTGTACAAAACTTCAAAAAGTCATAAAAATTAATATGTTGGTCACTTCTAGCAGCTGGAAGAGATGGTGTGTGATGCCAGCTAAAATCTGATGTGAGCCAGGGCAACCAATCAGTTGGGCACGAGGGTGAAAGAGAAATGAGCATCGATGGGGATGATTTTCTGTAATGCTTAAATGGGAGAGCAGTGCCTCACACTCGCTTCTGCCAGGGCAGAGGGAAGGGGAGGGCGCAGGGCAGGAAGGTGCAGCTCTGGAGAGGTTCAGGAGCAGCCCCCATGTGCCAGTGGACAGGGAGCTGTCCTGCACAGGGCAGCCTTTCTGTGCCTCACACTGCCCGCTCTGTTCCTGCTGCCGCCCGGCTCTCGCGGTCCAGCGGTCCAGGGGCCCCTTTCCATCACGCCCTGAATCACACCATTATACTGCACTGGCCCAAGCCAAGCAGCCCTCCCCAAACACCTCCCCCGAGCCGCTGCACTGCAGACAAGGAAACGCACCGCAGTAATTCAATACTTTTCCTGGGCTGCGACCAAAAATCGGGGCACTTCAGCCCGAAGGAAAACACCTCAGCGTGGTGCGACTGCCAAGGAGTAAAGGCTTAAAAAAACCCCTCCTGCACAGCCCTGGGGATGCTCGTGCTGGCCCCGTGTGGCCTGTACCTTGGAGATGTAGTAGACACACTGCTGGAAGGTGTACATGATCACCTCCTCCAGCACCGTCATCGCCTCCTCGCTGGCCGTGATGGTCGAGGAGAACAGGGACTCCTTGGAGCCTGCAGGGATGAGAGGAGGATGAGGGAGCAATGCTGCAGCAGCAAGGCCCCCAAGCTCCCAGGGTGTGGGTTATTAGAATTTCCAGGTTTGTATCATCCCCACGCAATCCCTCGACAGGGCAAAGAGGCTCCTCTGGCCCGGGGCAGCTCCCACCTGCCATCCCCCACAGCTCCCATCACTGCTGGCAGCTCGGGCCTTCCTTCCAGCACCTGCCTGGCCTAAGAACATTTTAACTTTTTGCATACACCAAAAAGTTTCTTAGGCTGGTTTAACACCTTTTATTTTTTTCCTTTGGCTGGCATTAACACAGGCTCACCAGTGAGCAGTTCTGCAGGGCTACCTGCAAATCCAGGTTGAAGAAAGCCCCCCAGGTCATTAACCACAAGCTGCTGTGGTTGCAGGGGATCCTTGTGTGTGAACACAACTCAACCTGGCTCTGCAGCCGGGCAGCACCACGGCAGCATGTGAGCCTGCTCCTCCCACAAATTTCCCCAGCCCACAGCACAGAGATGTCCCTGCTGATGAGGATTACAGAGGGTTAATGGAGCATCTCGAGGGCACTGACCACCACCTGTGACTGGGGATTAGCAGAGCAGAGTTGCTCCAGCTGGAAAAACAGGCAGGATGCTGCATCCAGACATACCTTTGATGTCCAGCTCTTCCTCCATGCTCTGGATGTAGGTGGGTGATTTCTGCTGGACGAAGTAGAGGATCTCAATGGCATTGGCCATCCAGAAGACGATGTGTTGCAGGTCTGGGAGAAGGTCTGTGATGGTGAAGCGGGACAGGGTGGCAGGGTCCTGGCTGGGGAGACACAGCACGTGTTACACCTGCTGCTCCTCAGCATCCCCACTCAGGCTTTTGGGGACAAAACAGCCAGCCTGGGGCAATGCCAGAGAGCTTTCACATCCCCCCACCCCCAAGGCAACACTCCCCACAGAAGGACTCTACAAAGGAAAAGTTCTGCCACTCTATGGGGTGGCAGAGGGGACCCTGTGGGGACTGGGCTCACCAAGGCCGCCTGGCCTTTGTGGGATGCCACTTTTGGGGCAGACTTCCCCTAATAGAGATGAACTGCGCCAAATACTTATGTCTGAAGGCAGCCCTTCCCCAGAGGTATGTGCTCTGGACACTTAAACTCAGCTCACCCGCCCTGGGCTGGTCAAAAATAAAATAAAAAGCATCTGCGAAAATTTCTCAACTGCTAAACTGCTTTTTCTTGCTATAGGAAGGGCCTGGAAATCATCCATGAAGTTTATCCTAAAGGAGAGCTCACAGCAAGCACCAACAGTTTCTCCAGATACTGGTTTAGAGATGGCATTTTGGAAATGGCTGGGGAGACAGCTCCTTGTACCACTGTGATTGTCCCAGAATGGCACTGGGATGCTGTGTCACCACCCCTGGATGCACACATGCAGTGCCAGCTCCCTCTCAGCTCCACTGAGGGGTTTCCAGCATGAGGAAGGTCAGGCTCATGCATAAGGGACATTCCTACTCTATCACTCAGGGATGAAGCCACAAAGCCTTGGCCAGATCTTGGATCAGAGAAAACCCCAGAGCTGCTGCAGGTCCTGTTCTCTCCTGAGCTTTTCCAAACCAAGACATTCTGTGCAGGCATTGTGGTTAAAGGACCAGAGAGCAGAATGTGTGGGATGTAGCAGGAAAACCCATCATGCATCGCTGCTGACAGGCTGGGAGTGTGGTTTACCAGCCACGGACTTCCCTCACTCATGGAGAAAGAACCAGGTTGAATTCTCCCTGTTTTGAGGCAGAACAAGGAGGGTCACACTTACTGCTGAGACTGCTTTTCAGCCAGCTCCCGCGTCCGCTCCTGGGCAGGGAGAGAAGGGGAAATCACGGTGAAAACCAGCGGGATGGGGTGGCCCGAGCATCAGCCCCATCAGCACTCGCTGCCACCAGAGCCCAGGCTGAGAATCCCCCCAGGGAGGGGCTGAGCAACACCCCCACCCCACAAACACCCCGTCCCACCGCTGACTGACCCACACCGTCCTCTGGATCATTTTGGCCGCTTTGAGCAGCAGCTGCCCGAAGTCTCCTGGCTCAAAGTTGGTGGCCGAGTGCTGGATGCAGAGGCAGAGCAGGAAAGCGGGTGTCAGCTTGTGGTCGTCCCCCCCGGGCTCGATCAGGGTCATGATGCGCCGCAGGAGCACATCCTCGGCCGCCGGCTCGAACTCCAGCTGCAGCTTCCTGCGGGGTGTCCTGGGGCCACCGGCGGGCGAGGGGCCCCTCTTCTTGGCAGCCTCCTTGTCCTTCAGCAGGCTGCCACACGCCCCGCACACGTGGGGACCCTCGGGGTGCAGGGCTCGCAGCCTCAGCAGGGTCTGCGCCGGCAGCGGCTGCGCCTTCATGGGGTCCTTGTAGAGGAGCAGGTAGTAGAGGCCGAGGGACAGCAGGTCCCCGTGCCGCAGCACCACCGTCCGGGCCACCTCCGAGAAGTTGACAGAGATGGCAGCGCCAGCGATGGGCTCCAGCACCAGCTTCTCCTCGGAGCGATGCCGGGAAGGCCGGAGCTTCCTGATGGTGCAGTGCAGGGGCAGGATGTCGGGGGCCGACAGGCTGATGCTGGGCTTGCTCGCCTGAGTCCTCTGGCCCACCGTGTGCTGCTCGCGGTTCAGGAGGTAAACCAGGCTGTCCTGCCAAGCGAGGAGAAGCAGCATGAACCGGGGAGGGGGGAGAAAGGACCGTCCTCCCTGCCATGCAGTGAGTGCTGCAGCCTCCCGCTGTCCCCAGCTGTCCCCTCGCTGTCCCCAGCTGTCCCCCATGCACCTTTGCATGGCAAAAACATTTCTTTTGGCAAAAACATTTCTTTTTTTTTATTCTCCTCGCTGCCAAGCAGGACAGCAGCCTTGGCCTTGGGATCCCTGCCTTGGGCACACCAATAAACGGGTACAAGGACTTTGGGCATGCAGTAAATGGGGCTGCTTTGGGCAGAAGGAGCCCTCCTTCCACCTCTCCTCATCCCTTCCGCAGCTGCTTTTCCTTCTCACCTTCTCCCCCCAGACTGCAGCGATGCCTGCAACCCCTGCCCGGGGGAATAGTGGGACCCCGGTCAGAGCATCCAACCCCGGCCCTGCCTTTCCCTGCAGCCTGCCTGCAGCTCAGGGTACCACCAGAAAACTGCCTCAGTTTCCCCAGCAGCACCTACGGGATGCCCGCAGTGCCGGTGTCACCCTGCCAAGGAGCTTGGAACAGCCGAATACTCAAAGGGCACAAAGTAGCCATTAACTGCAAGAGCCGAGCCTGTCCTTTGCAGTTCTCCAAGCGCCTCCAGCAGACGCACTGTTCTCCTTGCAGCCCCTGATCCCCCATCAGGAAGCAGCCGGACAGGGGACGGGGCAGCTCAGCCACCACCCGCAGAACCAGGGCTCCCTCGGGCCGGGGCAGGGATGCTGCTCGGGGATCACCTCGCATCCCTCTGGGGCATCGCAGGGGGTCACGGCTCCTGCCTCCGTGTCCCCCGTACTTGGGGACAGGCTGGGGACAGACTTGAGGACACTGCTGCAAGTCCCAAGCCCGTTTCCTAAAGGATGCTCATCCGCACCACCACCACCACCACCTCCCTCGACCCCAGCAGCTCCGGCCATGCAAGCAGCCCCGCTCCCCGGGGCTTTGGGGGGTGGGAGGGAAGCGGGGGGGGTGCGCAGGAGGCGGCGCGGTGCTTACATGCTGCTGGCTGTAGCCCTGCAGGAGCAGGAGGTGCGGGGACTGGTAGAGGGAGTACCGCATGCTGCTGCCGCCGCTCCGCGCCGCCGCCGGGCTGCCGGGCAGGGTGGAGCAGTGCCTCTGGAGCCGGGCCCCGGCCCCGGCCCCGCTCCCTGCCCGCCGTGCCGGGGTCCCCAGGCTGGTCTCGCTGAGGCTGCGCCGCAGGGCCGGGGGGGGCCCGCGCCGCTCAGCCCCCGCCGCCCGCCGGGCCCCCCGCGCCCGGTGCCGCTGCAGCTTCCGCGCTTGGGCGTTGATGCCTGCGGGGATGGGGGGGAGACAGAGCGGCGTTCAGCCCCTGCAGCCCCCCCGGGAGCACCCCCGCCCCTCCGCAGCACCCCGCGGCCGGAGGGATGCTGCGGCTCCGAGCGGGGATGGAGCAGCCGGAGCCCTCCCGGCGCTGCGCACCCACCCTGCCTCGATGTCCCTGCTCCTTTGCCCTCCCCGAAAGGTGACGCCAAGGCACCGGCGCGGAGAGTTTAGTGTCCTAATGCCACCGCTAGAAAAGGGGATGTCCCAGCCCTCCCTGGCCCCCCAAACCTCACTGAATGGAGAGCAGCCGGTCCATAGTATCCCCCATCTGCCCTGGCCACACTGCAGGGCTGGGGGGAGAGGAAGTCCCTCCGAAAAAGAAATTTCACTCAATCTTTGCTAAAAAAAAAAGAAGAAAAAGCCCGGATTCGGCTTTCAGCCCTTCGGCACTCGGTCGCCAGCAGCAAGTGGGAACCGCAGGGACGCCCCCCCTAATTCCCCGGAGCATCAGCCAGGCATGGGAGCTGCAGTGGAGCCCGGCTGCAGCAGGAACAGGCTGTAATTAACTTCTCCCAAGCATCAGTTCGGGCAGAGCTGTCTCTCCGTGAGACAAACGGGAGCCGGAGTGAATGAATAGGCCTGGCCGAGCTGCAAAAGCAGCCCCTCACATGGCACCCCCAGAGCCGGGGGGTCCCCGCGGGTCCCTCCGCGCTGCAAGCGTGGCTTGAGCTCCGCAGGAGAAATGGGAAGCTGTGTGTCCGAGGGGCGATGCTCGTACCTCAGCTGGGCAGCGTCCTGGGAGCCTCCTGGCATTCGGGGAGGACGAAGAGAGGGGGAAAAACCTAAAGGATTTGCTTGCAGGAGCAGCAGTGCAGCGCTGTCGGTGCAGCACCGTAGCCAGAGCCCCGCTCCTGGCTCGGCTGACCGGGGAGGAGGCTTTGGACAGTGAGGTTTGGGGACAGCCGGAGGGATTTGGGGACGGCAGAGAGCCCAGTGCCCAGGGCTGCTTAAAGGGACACTCACAAGCTCAGACCCAAAAAAAAAATTAAAAAATCATCTGCCTTATTTGGTGAGGAATGGGCTGCCGGTTCAGAAATACATTTTTTTGTTTGTTTGTTTTAAATGGAGCGCTCCTTTGCTGGGAAAATCAAAGAGATGGGGATGGGGAGGGGGATGGGATAGGGAGAAAATAGCCCCTGATGTTTACATGCCTTGGGATTAGGGCAAGGCACAGTCAAAGCCACCCCAAAGTCCCGTGCCCCGTGTCCTTCTTAAAAAGGCGATCGGCCACGGCACGGATGGGACATCCAGGGAGAACCACGAGCCCACCCAAGCCGCGCTGCTGGGGATGCCAAAGGCCACCCCAAATGTGTCTGCAGGACAGCTCAGCTCCCCCCAGGAGCCCTGACCCCAACCCACAGTGTGGAAATGGGCCAGAGGGAGGAAGGACGGCTGGGACAACGCAGATCCCTCTGGGAGCAGGCAGCAGTGGGGCCGGATCCTGGGGAGCAGTTTCTGCTGAGCTCAGTGGGACAGAGCAAGGCCTGCCAGGACTGGGGTCCCACTGCCTGCAGAGACAGGCCATCACCAGCCCCTTATCAAGAGGAAAGGAAACTTCTGTATTTATTTTGTGTAGGAAAAAGCTGCTTTTTCCCTGCCGATAGAGCCCCCGTCACAGGCTCCCACTATCCCCGGGACTGAGCTGGAAAGATAAACACAGCTCTTTTCCTGAGCATAACAAAGTCCCTCCATAAAACTGGGTTAGGTTTTTTTCATCCTTTGGTACTGTTTTGTCCTCCCAAGCAGGTGCAGGTAACCCCACCCAAAACTTGGTCTGAACATCTCCAGTGCAGCGTGACCAGGGCAGAGCCAGCAGCTGCTGAATCCACATGGAGATTGGGATGGGAACAGCATGTAAGGAGTTAAAGAGCATCCACAAATATTACATTGCTCCCTGGATAGCCAGGATTTGGACTGTAGAAAAGGGGGTTCTACTGTCAGGGTGTTAGGCCTTGTTAAAGTTTAGGGCTAGACAAGCTCCAATGATCTCAGGCCAAGGGGGAGGTTAACAAGACTTGGGAAAAAGGATGTACCACTGATAGTGGGCACAAAGAATACAGAATTTACAGGCCACAAGGACATTTGGCAGAACTCCCAAGATAAGGAAGAAACTAATAGAAGCAATTCAGCAACTGTGCTGAATCAGCCCTGACTGGGTAAGAGGCAATTCTAGCAGGGGGAGAATCAAAACCACCAACCCAAGAAACCACCAGCTCAAAACATGTGTGCTCTCTCTGTCCCCCCTCTTTTCCCTCTCTCTCTTTCTTTCTTTCTCTGTCTCTGCCTCACACTGATTGCTAATAAAATCTGTATTATTTACTTCAGCATTTGTCTCGTTTGCACCTCAATTGAGGCAGAGGCATCTCTCACTAATCAGATCCTAACACAGGTCTGGATCTCATCCTTGGGGAGAGCTGGGCACCCCGTGGGCAGCACCCACCAGACCCCACCAAACTTCTGCCTCTAAACCCATCCTGCAACCCAGGGTGAAAGCTGTTAGTTGTGGTGCCTGGGATCTTGGCTGGGATCTGCCTCATTTTCAGCTGAGGAAAGAGGTTCGCTTTTCCTGGCTGAGAAATAAATCAACAAATAACTCCGTGGGCCCCAGGAAAGAAGAAATGCTTTGAAGGTACCCAGGAGGGACTAAGACCAGGCTAGTCCTTCCTAATGTAATTGCTCAGCAGACTCTGCAGGGAATCTTCTCTGCATGCAGTTGTGCTAAGGTATATCAAAGCCAGATCCTCAAAGGCACTTGCCAGAGCATCTTTGAGAATAACAGGCTTAAATCCCAAGTTTCTGGAGCTGTGTGTGCAGTTCTGCCTCCAGCCTCTTGGGAAAGCTCCACTTAGGATGGGACCTGGTACAAAATGGGCTATTTTGGAAAATGAATCGCACTGAGATGCCAAGTGCTGCACCTCCCTCCAGCACCCCACAGTTTGGGGGTGTTTTCCCTACACCTCCATAACTGCTGCCTTTGTGCTCCCCAAAAGGAGCAGGGCTGAGGGTAGCAGGGAGAGAAGGGCTCTACCTGTGCTGCTAATTAGCGGAATGAGGAGCCAGCACCGTCCTCCCCACTGGGAAGCAGCTAATAAACTAATTAGGATAATGGGTAACTGAGCAGATAAAACCTTAAGCTATTTGCTGACAGGTTATGGATGGATGAGGAGCCTTTCCCCCCACCAGTGATGCACCTGCATGACCCCAGTGGTCCCAGCCATCCCAGTCCTGCTGCTCCAGCAATGGCCTGTGTGGGGAAGGGCCTACAGGTATTGCCCTGGGGATGATTTGAGCACCCCTCTGCTTTTCTCTGAGGGAGCTGCAAGCCTAAAGTCCCTTTATTTTTGCACAGATGTCGTGTTTTCCACGCCAGTGCCTCACCACCCTGGGCAGGCAGCTGCTGCTCAGCATGGGGACCTCTGCCAGCCTGAGCCTGGTGACAAGGGTGACCCTGGTGGAGGGCACTCATAGTCAATACCCCCCACAGCAGGAGTTTTGTGTCTTTTGGGGTGCTGAGTCACAGGCTGCATCACTCACATTCATTCCTGGCAGTCTGCAGATGAGGCAGGAAAGGGGGGTCCCAGGGCCACCAGCACAGGGTGAGACTGGTGACAGAGCCCCTGGGGCCACCAAAAGAAAGGGCTGCAGGAGTGAGATTTTACCAGGTGAGGCAGCTATGGCTGTGTAGTCTGCAGAGCAGACAGCCTGACTGGGTGTAGCTTCTGTCTTGGAAGAGCTTGGTCAGCTATGGAAAATGCCCAAAGGTTAAAAAATGAGGAATTTCCACAGCCCCACCCAGGAGTGCTGAAACAAATGAAGTGATAACGAAAGCATAACGGGCTTATTTCCAGATCCAGAGCACAGGATCCTACCAGGAACTGCTCCTCCATCAGAAATGACCAAAGGGTGCCAGTCCCAGGCCAGTTTGACCCTTGCTGGGCAGCCCAGACCCTGCTGCTCCCCCTGCCTGTGTGGGAGCCTTGCCCTCCCACGGCTCCCATCCCACCCAGGATCCAGGTCACAGGGAGGAAAGTTGTTTTCTGCATCTGAGGGGGAGGATTTGAGGCCAAGTGGATGTGACCTTGGGCTCTGGCAGGGAGCTGCCACGTGGTGCTGCCCACCGTGTGCTGCAACCACCACACTGGGCACTTGCCCTTCCCTCTATTCAACTGAAGCTGTTTTTAGAGTCGCTGCTCTCCCAAAGTGCTTCACATCTCTCTGATCCTGGCTGGAGAAAGAGCTGAAGAGATCAGCAGAGCATCCACCTCCTTGGCCCAGGCTCTGGCAGGAGCCACCTCTGTGTCCACCTGTGGCATTTCCTCCCTGAGCAGCCACAGACTGGACATGGTGAGGATGGAGGCAGCCCTGTCTCCTCAAGTACCAGGTGAAATCCCAGTTGAAAATTGCAGCTGGGCAGGCTCCAGCTGCCTCTGCTCTTCCCTGGAATGCCTGTGGTTGGATTCCCTCACTGTGTGCTCGAGTTCCTTCCAGCCTTTGTTAGGGTGGGTGGGAGAGGAGCTCCCCCCTGGTGTGGGACAGGTTGGATCATTTGTTCTGCTGCTGGTGGGTCAGAAACTTGGCTCTTCTTTGCCAAGCACACAGAGTAATCCTGCATCACCATCAGTTTAGTTCTGACAGTAACAGCCCTTTGCTGCACGCTCAGGGCCCATCCCAGCAAAACCCTGTGGCTGACACCTCTGGAGCCTGGTCCAGACCCCTCTGTCAGCAGGTCTGACCCAGCAAGCACACTGTACAAGTAAAAATCTGATTTTAAACCTTTCTGCCCTCATCCTCACAGGACTTTTATCTGAGGGTGGGAGGAGGAAAGCTTCATTACTGTGTGCTGGGGTCGCTTATTAACCCGCTGGTTCCTAATGATGCACTTATCTCCTCCTGCCAGCCCTGGCCTCCATCAGGCACTGCTGCAGGGGCTCTCCTGCCCTACATTGCTCTGTCTTCATTAGCTTTTCATTTTCCTTAATAGCTCCTGCAGATTTGCCTGGGGTGTGATGCCTGGGGGATACCCAGAGGGAGATGGGGATGCAGGGGAGCAGGGCACTGCTCTGCCAAGCACGAAGCTGGGGTTCTGCTTCACTGGTGGGAAGAGCAGAAAAGCACTGATGCTCTGGCCTGCTGCTCCCCAGCCATGGGCAGGGTTTGTTATTAACCCCTAAACTGGCTGGGGTAAATATTTGAGGTCCCAGGATGCGGGAGAGTGCCGAGTCCTGCCTCAACCCAGGAGCCTTGCAGCTAAAATGTGGAAATGTGGCCACTCTCCCACTTGCACCACCCCCTGCACCCAAACCACATGTGAAAGCTGCCGGTCTGGGGGTGCATCCCAACCTCTCTCCCTGCCCCACACCCAGCTCTGACCTGCAGTGGTGGTGTCCACGTCCCTGGCCGCCATCTCCTCCACCTCCGCCCTCCTGCGCAGCTCCAGCCGGCGCGAGAAGCCCTCCCTGGGCTTCCAGAGGTCCTGGATGAGCAGCGGCTTCTCGTGGTCACCCAGGACCCTCAGCCCCTCTGTCTGCCACTGCTTCTCGGGGCCCTGGAAGCGACCGATGACATCGCAGAGCGCGTACTGCCCGGCGCTGAGCTGGCTCAGCCCGTAGCGCTCCAGGGCCTCCTTCACCAGCTCCCGCGCGCCAGAGCTGCCCGTCACCAGCACGCTCTTGTAGTTGGTGCCCGCACAGATGTTGCCCCCGAAGATTTTCAGGATGCCAGGGGCCGAGAGCTGGGTGGAGAGCTCGGCCGGGTCGTCCTCGGCGGCGGCCGGGGAGGCGGAGGCCGAGCCGCGGTCCTTGTAGCTCAGGGTGCGGTACAGGACCTGGGAGAAGAGCCGGCTCTGGCGCTTCAGCCGGTTCTTGGACGGCGGAGCCATGGTGGAGGACGGGCCATAAAACATGGTGCGAGAGGTCGTCATGAAGCACAGCTGGGCAGGGAAGAGCACAAAGGGGAAGGTGAGCGCTCTGGAGGCCAGATGTGCAGCAGGGGAGAGCGAGCTGGTGGCCACGGAGTAGCCACTGTCACCTCCAAGGTGACAGATCAAGGGAGGGCCGTTTCCCTTGTGTTACCCAAAACACCAGTGGAAAACTCGATTTGCCCCTGAAAACACAGCTTGGAGACGCCCCATATTTCTCCATCGTGTGTACCAAGAGGTCCCTCTTACTCAGGCAAAATGCAGTGGGGGGAGAGCAGAGCCCAGCGGGACTTGGCGGGGCCCATCCTGGTGAGGAGCCAAGGCATCAGAGTTACTTTCACTAACGAGTTTACGGAGCAATCCCATTTTTTAGAGGTGAAACGGAAAGCTCAAGTGCAAATTCACTCACTCTGAGGTCACTGCTAAATGCTTTTGCTCAGCGAGAGGCACGGGGTGAAAATGGGCTTTAATTAGCCTTTCTAAAAATGTCCTGACTCTGGCAAATCTCTTGGCTGTTGCTTGTTTGTGGAGGACGTTCAGGCCCAGGGTGGCATCGCTGACAAGGCTGCCCTTGTCACGTTAGCCCAGGGCAGCCCCGAGTGGGCAGCGACCAGAGGAGATGTGGCCAAGGCCGTGTGGCAGCTCCCAGTGCTCCTCAACCCCCTGGAATGGACCGGGAGCCACAAATCACTTCTGGATTTAGGTGGGTAGCGTTCCTGCCTGATGTCACTGTCACCACCTGCCAATGGCTTTGAAATCCCATCCTGGTTGCACCAGTGCCTGGTGCTTGCATGGTGCTGATAACCCACAGGTGCTGATAACCCACAGGTGCTGATAACCCACAGGTGCCGATAACACACCCCTGCTGCCAAGGAGGTCTGGAAAGACAATCTGAGCATTCCTGATCAGGACAGGACTGGGATCTCCCTCACCTCGGGATCTGTAACATGCAGGGGCTCCCTGCATACACAGAGAAACCCCAAAATGTCCCATCCACAGCTATCGGAGCTGGGGATATTTCCGTGTTTCCAACTGCCTGGATGCAGCAGTTGGGGTGATCTGGGTGTTCCTCGTGGGGACACACGAGGTGCCAGCAGCCTCCCACAGCTGCAGCCCCGACTGGCTCGGGCACAGCCGCGCCTCCGGAGCAAGCTCAGCGCTATCAGGCAGAATGATGTCGGGCCTGGAAAGCTTCCAAACCACCATCTAATTCAGGAAAAAAGAGCATCCCTGCTGCTAATGGAAGAGGTCACCTTCTAACCCAGAAACCACCTCCCAGCCGTGCATGGAGGCTGGCTGCAGGATGTGCATCCCCCCATCTCGCAGCCAGAGGCCCATGGAGTCCTGCAGATGGGGAAACTGAGGCAGCAGGTGCTAAGGAGGTGGCTGGGAGCTGTGTAATCCTGCAATGCTACCCCTTTCCCCTTTCCCAGCCCCACCAGGAACATGAAAATGATGGGGTTTGTTCTTCTTCCCAACCTGCTGGTTCCAAAACTGACTCCTGATGTACTGAAAGGCAGGAGTCCTGGCACAGGACAGCAGGGCTGAGGACCTTGTGTTTTATATTGTCCCAGAACTTCACCCCAATTCACTGGGTTCAGGTAAGGCTGTTCCTGCTCCTGCTCCTGCCTTGCAAGTGGGGAAACTGAGGCAGGGATGGGGCTGGGACTCTGGCTCCCCCCACACTGCTGCTCCTCCCTCTCCAGCTGAGTCCGGAGCTGCTGCTCCCGCTGGGGACATCCCTGGGGACATCCCTTGATGTTTGCTGTGTGACATCTCCTGGGAGTGCCGCGGCAGCCCCGACCTGGGGAGCAGGTCAGGGCACTGGCAGTGCTCAGGAACAGCTGCCCCAGGCTGCAGCACGGCCCTGCCAGCCCTCATTAACATTGACCAGAAGGAAAACTGCCCCAGAGTCCCCACAGGACCTTGTCATCAAGGATGCAAAAGACAAAACTTTGTCATCAAATCACTGGTTTCATCGATTTAATCTCCTCCACCCTGAACTACCCCCAGCACAAAAGGGAAACCTTTTACCATCTGCTGGTGGCAAAATCATTCCTCCAAGCCCACATCACAGAGACACCATCCTTGCTTCTTGCGGGTCCCTGCCTGGTTTTGAATGTGTTATTTATAGCTCAGCTATTTTTCTGTTCTTTCTATCAAACGCAGCTCCTACAGAGTTCAGGGGAAAGACGTTTCATGGGGAAAAAATCAGAAGCCTGGATCAGGAGGAGGTGCCAGCCTGGTCACCCCAGTTTTCAGCATCTAGAGCAGCACCGGCGTGATTTTACCAGGCACCAGCCTGGGTGACCTGAGAATTCACAACCTTCTCCTGGAGGCAGCTGAACACAGCCGGTGTTAATCCCCCTGAGGATTCTGATGGACAGGATAAGGTGATAACGAAATGCGCTCCTCCCACATCCGTGCGCTCAGGCACGCTGGGCACCGGCCTCTCCCACCAGGAGGAAATCTCTGGTACGTGCAGTCCCTCTGAGCCCTGCTGCGGGAGCGGGGATGCTCCAGCTGCCCGGGGACGAGCCAGCAAGAGCATCACACCATCCAGCCGGCCAGTGGGACACGTTCTCCTGGGCATCCCCAGCCCAGCTGAGCCCCGTTCCACTGCAGGACAGCTCCCTGGAAGGACACAGGCCTGCAGCTATGGAGCATGACCCCGACTTTCCCACGAGTCCCTTTCTCCAGCGTTCAGGGCATTGTCTCTCTAAGAGCCACACATGAATTAAAGCCTGGGATTGCCTCCCAGCGAGGTCTGTCAGGAATCCTTCACCTCTGCACAGCCAGTGCCTGACCACACCAAAACCAGGCATTTTCCACAGCCAGCTCTGTCTGAGCTCTGCAGAGCTGTGACAAATGGCCCTGGTACTCACATGGCCACCACATGTCCTTCCATCACCCTGACCCTGCAACCACCAGGGACTTTCCTTCGGGCCTGAGGTTCCTGCTCCCGTAATGGGTGAGCAGCTCCTTCCCAGTGCCCCCACCCAGCGCTCAGGAAAAGCCTCTCCCTACCTTGCCATCCTTCTCACGTGCCTTTTTCCCTTCCATTCATCCTCCTTCTCAAAACAATCTTTGCCCTTCGTTGTGCATCATCCTGGGCAGGCGTCTGTCACGTTTCTGAGAGAGGAAGAGGAGGAGAGGTCCTGGGCTGCTCACGGACATCGGCTGCTCGCAGTGTTGTGGGTTTGGAAGGCTCAGAGGTTCTGCAACACGGTCCTGATGTTTGCACGTGGGCTACTGAACCACATCTATACCCCCTATAACCAACAGCACCTACCCCATCGTGTGGGAGACCGGGAGGGAACAGCAGGAGGAAGGAAAGGAAAGGAGAGGAAGCAGGAGGAAAAGAAAGGAAAGGAGAAGGGGAGGAGATGGAACCAGCAACAGCCCCGTGGCCTTTATCTCTTTCTCCTAAGCACATGTGTCCCCAGGGATGCCAGGCTGGGGATGCTCTGACCCACAGGTGGACAAGCAAGCCCTGGAGCAGTGAGCAGCGTGCTGGGTGCTCACTGAGATTTGTCTCCCTGAATCTCAGCCTGTTTTTCTGGACATCAAGAAGAGCCACCCAGCACTGTCCCCTCACCTTCCCACCACACATCTGCGAGAATACAACCACTGGTGACCAAGAGAAAAGGTAAAAGAAGCCCCTGCCAAGTGTTCCTGGGAAAGAGCCATCAGGGCACAAGAACTACTCTTTTCCATGGTTCCACCATGATTAAAGATAAAAGCATCATCCTCTAATTAAATCACCTAATCAGGGCCTCAGTGTGGTTCGATCCAGTCCCTCTTGCTGGCCCAGCCTCAGGGCTGTGGCAGAAACTGCGAGTGGTGATGCAAAAGGCAAAGAGGTGCTGACCCCACCTCTGCTGCTCCACGTGTCTTCCGATGATTAATCACTCCTCCTGGTAAAATATTTATTCCTTATTTCCAACGTGCCTGCCCTCAGCTGCCAGATATTGATTCTTGCCATCTTTTCTCAGCTTAATTAACGAGATTTTGGCTACTGTGTATTTCTTTCTCTGCAAGAGTATTTAGATGCTTTTGCCAAGCCCTCTTCTTTCCTGTTTGATTTGATTTATGAGTGGACTCACTGGATGGCTCCCTCCTCTCCAGCTGTAAGACCCTTTCTGCAGCCCCTTGGTCCCTTCCCCTGGGATTCCACATCTCCTCTGCTGAGAAGGAGCTGCCATAAGCCCAAATTTAGTTCTGACCAGAAATGCAAATAACTGCTATTTTTATTTTTTTTCCCCAGAGAAAATTCCATGTTATCCTGAAAATTTTCAATTCTCTGGTGCAGAAATGGGGACAGACAGGCAGCTACCTCCCAAACTGCTGCCTGGTGAGCCCCTGTGCTCCCTCTCCCAGCATCTGCAGGCAGCTCCAGCTGAAAATTCACCATCCAGATTAGGGACAGGAAACCACATACAGCCACAGCTATTATTTTTGGGTGTAAAAGATTTCCATGTTCCATTCTGCTCCAGTTAGGATGCCTTTCGCTCTCTCAGCTTACCACCCAGATTTGTACAAACCATTAACACTCAGCTGCTCTGGGTCAGATCCAGGTTTTTCCAGAAATCATTTCTATCTCCTTTCTTCCAGATTAGTGACAAAAACACCAAGCCCATGTTACCAGCTGGCAGTGCCCAGCAGTGATAATCTCCCTGATAACTGCCTTGAGAATGGATCACATTTATTTAATACCAGCTTTCTTGACACTGTACAATGTCAGCTCTAAATACTGGACTGGATTGACTTTTTTAATACTGGAAAGTGCAGATTTTTACAAGAATATCACCTCTCATAACTCAAATGCTTCTCAGAAGTGTATTACAGCCAGAGAGTCACCTCTCATGTTGGAGACTGAAATAATTTCTACTTGCCAGGAGTTATTTTCCATATAGCCACGTTGGATGGCAGGAATTTATTCCTGGTGCTGAAGTCTTTAATCAATTCAAGCCCGAGCCAGGTTTCTCCCTCTTAACCCTGAGGGGATGCTATCAAGCCAATCAACCTGTAGCTACCAGGTCATCTTATTCCCTTTTGGGAAGAGCAACAACACTATTAAAACACCTTTTAATCATCTGGAATTTCCCCGGGGCTCATCCCAGCACATGGATGGGTGGTGAGATTTCAGCTATAACCACTCCAGAACAGGAACCAGAAAAGCTGTTTCCTCAGATCTTTGAAAAATTTCTCTCTTTTTTTTTGTTTTTTTCCCCCTTCTTTTTCTTTTTTCTGCCTTTCTTTTATTTTTTTTTATTTTTTTTTATGGAAACCGCTGGAGTGGCAGCCTCGGACTAACGGCAGTGACCGCAGCTTGGATGCTGCAAGTGGAGGGAGAGGCCGCTCCGGCACTGCAATGTGGAACAAATTAGAGCTCGGAGAGCAAAGGAAATGAGAACGCCCTGGCAGCGGTGGCTTTGACGTGCGCTCCTCGGCTCCAAATCCTGCCCTGGGCTCCAAATCCTGCCCTGGACTCCAAATCCTGCCCCTCTGCAGATCCCGTCTCGGCAAACCCAAACCCCTGAGCGGAGCCCCCCACTCTGTTCCCGTCAGGATCAAGTCTCTGCTCCAGAGCCCAGCCTTTCCTTGTGCGAGTTTTATCCATCTAATCTAGGGGCAGACCGGAGGCTGATGATGTCCATGCCTGCCCCGGTGCCGTCTTTAGCCGGATCAGGGTGGGTAAACTCCTTACCACGTTATTATTAGCAGCAGGCACCCCGCAGCAGCCTGGACCCCGCAGCCCCGGTCCCGCAAACACCAACAGCTTGTCCCAAAGGCATCTATAGCTCCACAAACATTGTAACAGCCTGGGACCTGATTCCACAAGGACAACGGGAGTCCTTTCAGCAGGTTTTCTTTTCTTGGTTTTGTTTTTCCCTGTAATTATTTTGCAGGGAGCCGCCAACGTGCACCAGCTCTCCGGTAACGCACCAGCGCAAATGCCAGCCCTGTGCCCGGGCAGCTCAATCCACACACCCCAGAAACACTGCACAAAAAGCATTTGCTTTCTGCTGCCTCCCGAGCTCCACAGTCTCCGTAGGCTGCCTAATTATAAGATCTTAGCAATAATTTTTTTCTTTTTTCCAGTGATAATTAACTGGTCCTGGAGAGAGCTGAAAATAAGCACTTCCCAAGCAAAGTAGCAAACTCCCCTGAGTTTTCTCTGCTGAAGTTACAGCTCAGCATAAAACTGCTCCAGCCTCACAGGGGCACAGATCATCTCAGCAGCTCCCTGCCACGGCCTGGGATGCCACCGCAGCGGCGGGCAGCTGGATACAGGTGAAATGGAGGGATAGCGGCGGGATCCCAGGGGCTGTGCAAGCGGACAAGGATCCCAAGGGACACGCAACGGGGAGAAGGATCCCAAGGGGTCTGGAATGGGGAAAAGGATCCCAGGGAATGTGCAAGGCGCAGAAGAAGCCCAAGGGGCATGCGACTGGGAGGGGGATCCCAAGGAGCGTGCAGTGGGGAGACGGATCCTGAGGGGTATGGAATTGGGACGAGGATTCCAAGGAGAGTTCAGTGGGGAGAAGGAGCCCGAGGGGGATGGAACGGGGACGATCCCGAGGAATGTGCGATGGGACACGGATCCCCGGGGACAGGCAGCGTGGGGAAGGCTCCCGGCCCATGGGACGGGGACCGTCGGGCGCTGCGGGTCCCGGCACCGCCGGCCGTGCCCGGTGCGGCTCCGCGGGCAGCGCGGGTCTCCCACGGCAACCGGACAAGCCCCGACCTCCGCGCTCCTCCCGCCTCCGCTTCCCAGGGGACGAGAAACAAACGCTCCCGCCCGGCACAGCGAGGGCGTCCGGGGACACAGCGGCGGGGATCTGCCCCCCAGGAAAGGGGGGTCCCTGGGGTAGGGTCCTCCCTCTCCCCCCGCGACCCCGGTACTCACCGTCGGAGCGGGGCAGGCTCGGCGCGACCCCGGCGCGGCAGCGCCCGGAGCCGCCGGGGCTGGCGGGGACCTCGGGCCGGTCCCGTCCCGCCGGGGCGGAGCGACCGCGGCTGCGGCTCCCCCGTGCGGAAAACACCGGCACCGCCCGCAGCCACCGACAGGGAGCCGGGAACGGGGAAGGGACGGGAATGGGGAAGGGTCAGGATGTAGGAAGGGTCGGTACTGGGAAAAGTCAGGATTTGGGGAAGGGTCGGAGTGTAGGAAAGGCCAGGATGTGGAGCTGCTGGAGTGAGGCTGTGAAGATGCTCCAAGGGCTGGAGCACCTCTCCTATGGAGCCAGGCTGGGAGAGCTGGAGGTGATCAGGATGGAGAGAGAAGGCTCCAGGGAAACCTTAGAGCCTCTTCCAGTGGCTAAAGGGACTCCAAGAAAGATGGAGAGGGACTTCGGGCATGGAGTGACAGGACAAGGGGGAATGGGTTCCCACTGACAGGGGGCAGGGTTAGATGGAATACTGGGAATAAGTTATTCCCTGTGAGGGTGGTGAGGCCCTGGAACAGGCTGCCCAGAGAAGCTGTGGCTGCCCCATCCCTGGAAGTGTTCCAGGCCGGGTTGGAAGTGGCTTTGATCAACTCAGTCTAGAGGAAGGTGTCCTTGCCCATGGCAGGGGTTGGAACAAGATGAGCTTTAAGGTTCCTTTCAACCCAAGCCTTTCTAGGATTCTATGAAAATGGCAGGAGCGAGCCAGGCAGGGCTCTGCAGGCAGCAGCACCTCAGCTGCACAGGCTGGCTTTGGCCAAACAGGTTTTATCAAACCAGCTCCAGAGCTGACCTGGAGACTGCTGAGGCTGCACACAGGATGGTGCCTGAAAGGACGAAGGGATGGATCGTTACTGCCCTGGGCAGTTGCTTGAGTTGAGATGGTCACTGATGCTCTGCTTTCCTTGGTGGAAATGTCTCCTTTCGGTAAAGGGGTGTTTCCCTGTCCAGGGGTGCTCTGGGTGGGAAAGCAATTCCACCACCCAGACACCCTCTGGGAATGACAGCACCAAAGCAAAGTCAGGAGGCCTCCCAGTCCAGCCCAATTGCCAGCAGCAAAGAAATGATGGGAGAGGTGGAAGTTGTGGGTCAGGTTTTGGGGTGAGTTCAGCTGCCCCTGGAAGCAGGGAACCCTTCCTGGCTTTCTGGGAAAGCCGCTGAGCGTGGCAGCCTGGGGGAATTGAGCCCGGTGTAATTATGGCAGAGGGCAGACAGTGGGATGTGCAGAGGCCAGGGCAGGCAGCTCCAGCACTGAGGTAAATCCTCCCCCTCCGAGAGGAGCCAGTGCCCACGGGAGAGCCTGATGGGAGCTGCTGGGTGGGTTTCCCTCTGTGGGATCAGCAGTGAGCTGTGCTTACCCTCTGCCCAGTCTGCCACGGATTTTCTCCTCCATGGCTCTGGCATCCTTCCATCCCCTCCAGTGCCCGCCCTGGGGCTCCACACCTCGACTTTTGACTCAGCCACAGAGGAGAGGGAACGGCAGGGCTGGAGCAGGCGTGGAAGGCTCTGTGCTGAAGCTGCTGTGATGAGATGCTGATGAGTCTTTCAGCCAGCACCTCTGGGCACAGGGGCACTGTCAGCAAACTCACTGATTTATTTATTTATTTGTTTGTTTGTTTGTTCAGCAGCCGGCAATGCCATCCCTGCACCAAGGTGAGTCAGTGCTCAGCATCCCAGCACCCTGCAGCTGGTTGAGTGGCTCCTCTCCTCACCAGGGAGCAAAACCATGTGGGATGAGTCAGACAGAAAATGAGTTTATTTCCAGATGCTGCAGGGGAACTAATTTTGATTTAACAAGCAGGCAAGAGTGAGGTATCTTGAGTTTTTATTTCAATCCTACTCCACACGAAATAATATCCACTAGCGTTATCTTCCTTACACTTGTTTGTGTTTGACCCGATACTGTGTTAAATATAAAATACTGCTTGAACAAGGATGGATGGTGAAAACATGAGATGCTAAAAAGATCCCTCGAGCCCTCCTCCACAAACACCCTGAATGTTATGAGTCATTTAAAATTAGTATAAAATAGGAGGACAATTCAATAACTTGCTCTGTGTCCCCCATGCTTTGACAGGGGAGGATTTAGGAACAAGAGAAGAGGGGGAGCCTCTCAGTTACAGAGAAACTCACTCTGCAAATCCGGGCTGAAGGCAGGGTTGTGATGTTCCTCACAGAGCCCAACCATCCATTCCTGCCCGGGCATCTCTGCTGGCCTGGATTTTCAGCAGGAGACTGAGATGAAGCCACCTCAGAAAGGTCCTTCTGGCACCTCCCTGTGCCTCGGGAGTCCTTGGGACAGATTTAGGGCCAAAAGACCAGAATGGCAAAACAGTTTCTGAGATAAATCCCTTGGGATGAAGCCCACGGGCAAAACACGTTGGTGGTCCCTGGGCATCCCCAGCTCCTGCCTGGGGACATTTGCCTGTGGCTGGGACTGCTGTTTGCATGGTCTGACCCCAGGGTGGCTCCCCGTGGGATTTGGTGACAGAGAGGGAGGAGAGCCAGGCACACTAAGCCGAGGTTGTCACCGTGCCCCATGGTGGCTCTGGGAACCTGCTCCCCCAGACTCAGTGAAAATTGAAGCAGGTGTTTGTGAAGCTCTGGCTGCCCTCCAAGTGCTTCACAGGGTCCTCACATGAGCCCTGTGAGGTAGGTCAGGGTCTTTGCCCCCATTTTCCAGATGGGGAAAGTGAGGCACAGAGAAGGGTAATGACTTGCCAGACAGAAAATATGGGATCTCCCATTCTGGGACCTCTGTATCCTGCTATTCCAACCCCAGATATGCTCCATCAACTGCTGGTTACTCACAGCTTGTCCTTCTCCACCTCTCCATCTGCAGGAGGTGGCAGGGCCACGGCTGGGCAGAGGCAGCAGCAGAGTCTGGGCTCACACCAGCTCGTTCACCCCCATCCCTAAGACCACCCATCACCCCAAGGGCAGCCCCAGCCCAAAGGCTGCTTTGGGGTGCCCTGGGCACTGACCCCCAGCAGCCTCAAATCAGGCTGGGGTGCTGGGTACAGCTCCCAGAGCCTTTTACAGGAACCGTCTGCCCATGGAAGTGAAAACCCTCCGGATATTTTTGCCATCCTGGCAACCACAGGCAGCACATCAGGAGGGGGTGAGTATCCAGATGCTTCCTCTTTGGTAATTTGCTGCAAAATGGCACAGCCCTGGACAGCCAGTCCCAGGGTGCCACAGGCTGGTGGGCCCTAAGCTCTGCCCAGCTCCCTGGAATGCTGCAGGAGATGTGGGATGGTGGCACCAGATCTCCTTCACTTGCCACATCAAGCCAGAGGCTGTGATTAATCAAAGGCCAAAAAGAGGTGATTGATTCTTTTGGGGGCTGATGGGGAAGGTGCAGGCACAGCCCAGCACACACCACACCCTCCTTGGCTCCAGCAGCTCTGTCAGGGTGTTTGGGGGGCAGGATCAGGTGTGATTTGCCCATTCTGCTGGATGGATGTTCCATGTCTCATTGGCCTGTGGCCATGGTTAGGCATTTTAAAACTGAGCATCACTAGGATCTCTCTGTCACAGCTCACATCCAGGCTTCATGTGGATGCATTCCTGCCCTGCAGCAACCCTGGAAATGCCAGAAATCTTTCCAAAAGTGGAATTAAATCTGATGAGCAGTAGGTTCATCAGCAAAATGGGAGCAGGGAAGGCAGCTCGCCCCGTGATCCCAGTCCAAGGAGGTTCACTTCCCTCCCTCGAGGAGAAAGGGATGAAATGGAGGGGCTGACCCCAGTCAGGGAGATGCCAGGAGCCAGATCCCAGCTCTGCTCCCTGCTGAAGGCACACGTGCAGCAGGGCCTGGGAGCAGGGCTGTGCTTCAGGCTGCCACTGGCACCGAGGCTGGAGAGGAAAACCAGGGAGAAAATGTCCATGGGGGGATCCCAGGGATGTAGTGAGTTGTGCACTTAATATTGGCTTAGAGAAAGGGTTTCCCAGTGCTCAGGGACTGGGATGCCCTGGAAGAGATTCAAGTTTCAATCTCTTGTAAGGCTTGCTGAGTATGGACCATCCCCTCAAGGACTTGGGATGGAGCTGGCAGTGCTGACAGGACTTGGGATGATTTAGGAGCCAGTCCGGGTGGTGCAGGGATGTCACCACATCCCTCTCCACCACTGGGTCTCTCCCCTCATCCTGACTCCTCCAGTCCCCTCAGTGGCACACACTAAGGACTCCAGTAGCCAAACCCAGGGTGTCATAGCCAGGGGCACGTGGGGCCAAGGTTCCCAGTCCCGTGGGACGCTCGAGGGCGGGTGAGTGAGCGAAGCTCCCAGCGAGTGGTCACTCCCCTATCACCCACAGCCCAGTCAGTCACTGTGTTCTGAAACCTTTGCCTAAAAAAATAAACAGTTCCCGAGGTTAAAAAAGAAAAGCATTTAAAATCAACCTCTGGGCTCCCCTGTCTGTGTGGGAAGGGCACCAGCGGCTGCTGTCCATGGGGTGAGGGGGCGCTTTGGGGCGAGCCCACGGTGCAGGCTGTGTCCCCGCTGCCCTCTGTGTCCCCACGTGCCAGGTGGCACCAACAATGTCTTTAAGGCTTCTACCGGGAGGTTTCGGTGTCCAGCGCTCCGGGCCGGTAGAGGTACCTCCAGATGGCATAGTAGTGGATGCCAGCTCCGATGGCCACGAAGAGGTGCCAGATGGCGTGGGCAAACGGGATGCGGCCGTCGCTTTTGAAGAACACCATGCCCAGGCAGTAGAAGAACCCACCGGCCACCAGCTCCAGGAGGCCATCCCTGTTGGGCTGGGAGCAGGCAATGCTCAGTGAGGCCAAGGGGCATCTGTCCTCTCCCCACCACCCCATTAAGAGCGGAAGGGTCGTCCAGCTGCAGCTCTGGACTTCTCTGCCTTCTGCTACCCCCTCCTCTCCAGCAAGACAGCAGGGACCCAGCAGGCCCAGGAGAAATGGAACTAGATGATTTTTAAGGTCCCTTCCGAACCAGACCATTCTATGATTCTGTGATCCTACAATTTCCAAACAATGGGGCCCAGGCAGGAGATCTGGGAGAGACACAGGTGGTGCCTGCTGGGCACCCAAAGCACCTGCAAAACCAAGGTGAGCCACGGGGTACCAGGGATGGCTTTATCCCTCACACAGCCTGGAGACTGCACCAAGCCCCTGGAGACAAATTGTTCTGGGTTTTCAAATCCCTCCTGGGGTTTGTTCCTCATGCTGAACCCGAGTGCTCCCCAGCACTGGCTTACCATGGAGAGGATGACCAAGGCGGGGAAGAAGCCCATGATAACGTAGCACACCAGCTCCACCAGCTTGTACCTGCAGCAGACAGAGAGGCAGCTTGGAGCAGGGACACAGGGAGGTTGAGTTTTACACTTGTTATTTCCACAGCAGCGCTAGAGGGGAAGGGGTGGTGGTGCCATCACAGCAGGTCCCATGTCCTCATGTGTGGACTGGCTTGGGACCGGACACTTGGGACTTTGGGCGACGTTTGGGGCCTTTGGCTTTTTATTTGGTGCCACCACGTGGAGGAAGCAACTCACGGCAGCACGTCCCTGCTCCGTGTCCCGGGTCCCACACAGCCACAAGCTCGGGGTTGGCTGCAGGCACTCACCGCTCGTGGAAGAAGAAAACGTAGACGGTCCCGATGGATGCCATGATCCAGATGATCCAGCGCATGTGGGAGGCCCAGGGACCCAACTCCCTCAGGTTCAACCTGCAAGAGCCAGGGCTGTGGTGAGGCAGCACCCTGGGCTGGGCTCACCCCCTCACCCCCATGGCTGTCCCACCAAAGGGTCTTCCCAACTTGTAACTTCAGCTTCAGGAGGTTGGAATCTACAGGAGGTGAAGGTTTTGTGGAAAGAGGTAAGGTACGGCCGTACGACCTTCTTCAAGAAGAAGCAAAGCCAGAGAGGGAAACTCTATTTATTGGAATCAGGATGATTTTTTCCCCTTCAGTGGGGCCAGGTGAAGGCCCCCAGCCACCAGCAACTCACCAGGGAGCGTAGGACGCGGCGATGAAGAAGTAGATCACCATCCTGTCAAACATGTGTAGGCAGTGCTCCACAGTCCTGCAGGACGGACAGATGGGTCACAGCACTGGGGGCATCTGGACCCTCTCCCCCTTCCCAAGCCCTGAGCAATCCAGGACGATACCTGAGATGCCTCTTCTTCCAGGAGATGGTGTGGAAGATGGTGGAGACAATGAAGAGGCTGGACAAGCCAAAGCCATAGATCCAGGCTGAGATGGTTTCCCACTGGTCATCAGAGAGGATGTAGAGGATGGAGCTGCCGAGGATGCTGGGCAGGATCCAGAACTGGAAGGGAAAGCAAACTCACTCTTGATTCTGCATTTCCATTGAGCAGCCTCCACTTTTCCTTTTAGGTGTTTCTTTAGCTTCTGGTCAAAGCTACCACCCGTAAGGGGCAGTCAGGGTCCCTCCCTGCATGGTGCAGCTCCAAAATAGTTTGTCCAGAAGGTATGGAGGAGGAGGGGAAGGCACAAGGAGGATGATTGTCTCTGAGTCATCTCCCAGGACTCAGAGTGGGAACTGTCAGCTCCCAAAAGAAACCCTGATGGGGGGAGAGGTCCCTCCCACTGCAGCCCCATGGGCAGCTGTCACAGTTCTTGCTGTGAAACAATCCATTTTCAGGGAGCTTTGAAAATACCCCTGCCCCACCAAGCCCTCAGCCAGCTTCCCCAGGGACACAGGGCCACGGAGGGTAAGAGCAAGAGAGATGCATATCAATTTCCCAGGGCAGGAGGAAGGAGAACATCCCAATCCCCAGGAGCACCTCTGCCTCATCACAGCCCTCAGACTCCCAGTGACTGCTCCAGGGCTGAACACAGATGTTTTTAGGTGTCCCTTGAAGTTCCCCAGTGGATCCCCAGAGAGATGAGCACCATCCTCCCTCACCCAGGGACAGGGACTCACAGCGTGGGTGGCACAGTTGGCTGCGTGCTCGTATTCCGTGGGCTGGTACCTGCAGTTGGACGGGACACGGTGATTCATGAACCTGCAGCGAGAAGCGGGGAGAGAAACACGCTCAGGGGACAGGGATGGAGTAAAACCCTTCTGGAGGGGTCTGCACAGGCCCACCCCCACCTGCAGCCCTACCATGGCTCAGCTTTGCTCCAGCTGCCCCGCAGAAGTGCCACCAGAGCACAGCATGTCCATCTGGCTGTCCCCAAGTACCAGGTCCCCAGGTCTTGCTCAGCCATGGCTCAGGCTGAAGCAGCTCCTGGGAGAGCAGAAGGCAGGAGCCAGCTCTACCAGTTACTGTGGGCAGAGGTGGGAAGAGCCCCAGCAACAAGGTTATCCCTACAATGCCTTTGGTTTCTGGGTACCACCTGCATCTACCCCCAGGGCTGCACATCCCAACACAGATTGTTGTGAGGGAAAGCTTACTGCCCTCCCTTGGAAGCCTGACTCTTTATTTCTGTTTCTCTTAGTCTTAGGAGACATCAGCTTGCTCTTGGCATTCACAGGAATGTATTGATTTCCCCTGCTGGGCCAACACACAGAGATAAAAAATAGTGTCACTCCATTGCTGGGTATGTAACAACAAATTAAATGTGCATCCGGGACAAGAGCTCCGAGCAAAGCCTCCTTCACCACCCTCTTCTGGCAGGAGACAGCACTGGAGGCTTGGCAAAGGGAATGAGAAACAGGGAAATGGAGGGGGTCCCTGCCCTGGTCCTGAGAATCAGGGTTTTTAAGACTTTTCCTGCTGTGGCTCAGGTCAGGACAGCCGAGCTGAGCAGGGCTGCTCGGCAGGACCTGGGCTAATTGCTTTGTGACCCTGTTTGCCCCCAGCTCCAGCACCATCTGCAGCGTTTCACAGCTGAGTTGAGCCCAGCAAAGGGGCTCAGGGGCTGGCAAGACCTTGCTACTGGGCACAGGGGGATGCCTCGGTCTGGGATGCTTGGAAAGGCTGGAAAAGTCCCCTCTCCCTGTCCCCAAGCCACCCATGCCTGTGTGGGCTCCTCCGCCACCTCCCGCCTGCTTGGCCCCACTCCCTGAGCCACTGGCTGTTGCCTGTTAAAACTGAGCCAGGGTGGGTTAAATAGCTCAAATGAGAAGGATTTGGTGTGGGGGAAATTGTGCAGCCACAACAGGGTGAGGGGCACCCAGCAGGTGTCAGTGACAGCCCACAGAGGGGCCCTGTCCCTTGCCCTGCCATGCCTCCTGCCAGACCCTGGCACTGTGGGGAGACATTCACGGTCCTCATCACCAAAAAATGTCTGCAATTTACAGGGGGAATGCAGGCTCCAAGCCCCCACTGCTCTGCTCACCAAGGACTCACACAGGGTAAATTTGGGCTCAGCAGGGCTGGGAAGAAGCTGGGCATCCCTGGGGACATGGTTGTGCCCAGAGCACTGTCACCTCCACCCCAGGGACACCAGGGATGCCTTCCCCATGCCACCAGTGCAGCCACGAGGCCTGGCAGGGCTGCCTGTGCTGGAGCCATGTCCCCCTGGCAGGAGGATGGTGCTGTCCCCAGCGTTGCCAGGAGACTGTCCCCAGCTCCCCTTCACTGTCTGCTTCCCTTTATTTTCCCTTGTAAAAATAAGAAGGAGGGGGGGAAGAAGGGGAGGCCAGACGTCCACGTGACGTCACAGTTGCTGAGGAAACACATTCAAGGCCTTTTCCTTGAATTTATTGATTTTAACAAAGCCTGCTCCATCTCCCCTCTGCTCTGGCTGGTGCTGTTCAGAGCAGCAACATAGAACCAATCCCACAGCCCCCTCCCCAGGGCTGGGGGGCACCCAGACCCTTTGGGAAGGTGTCCCTGGGGTGCAAATATCCAAATAGAAGCTGGGAAGGGCCACCCAAGCCATCCCCTTGTAATGAGGTTGATGAGCATTTATGTTCCTGAAGTCCAGACACCACAAACTCCTGCTTTTCCCAGAGGGACAATAGCCTTGAGGAGGAACATTTTTTTTGACCTGTGGAGAGATTGCTCTTATTTTTCTGCCCTGCTTTCTAGTAAGCATCATCCTGCGGATGGTGGGAAATGGAACATCACGGATGTGGGACCTGGCTGCACGGTGCTGGGTAAACCTGAGCCCCGCTTTTGGGACCTGCATTGTGTTTTGGGGCTAATTTGGCACATTTCTGTGGTCCTCTGTGCTCTGTAGAAATGGGGTCAGATGGTGTTTGCAAATCTCCTGGCAAAGCAGGATAAATCCCTGGGTGCACCTTATTTCCCAGGGGTGCAGAGGCCATTTCCCCTCCTACCCTCCTGGCATTTTATGGACCAGCTCGTGTCATCCCTGTGCCCGCTGGCGTGGGTGTAGGGCAGGGCACTGCAGCATCCCCAGCCTGCAGACAGCTGCCACACCAGTGTGCAGAACCAGCCTCAAAGCACTGTCCAGCCTGGACAGACAGATGGACACACTTGGAAAGAGCACTTGTGACTCTTTCAGCAAGCCACGAGCAGGTGTTTACACACCCCTGGGTGCTCCAGTGCAGTTCAGCAGGTGTTCCAGGATGGCAAAGTCCAAGAGACACAGAGAAGGCCACAGAGAGCTGAGCAGCAGGAACAGGAGCATGTTCATTTCCAGGGATGGGGTGTGGGAAGCAGGGAGCCAAAGGGTTCCCGGGCACCTTCTCCTCCCGGTGCTGCTCCTGGCAGACTCCCTACAACTGCCTCTATGAAGAGGGGAGGCTGCTGAGGGTCTGACCAGGGGTTATTCACAGCAGCCCCAGGGATTTTGCCTGCCCTGCTTGTGCCTGCTTTCCCCTGGCCCCTTTCCCAGGGAGGGAGCCTGAAAAGGGCCAGTACAGCAGGCTCTGGCCAGGGAAACAAAGAGCCCCTTGTCCTTGGGCACCGGGGCAAAATACAGAGCTGGCTTCCCAGGCCTGTTCCTTTCTCCTGCTCTTTCTCCCACTCTGTTGGGTTGGGGGTTTTGTAATATAGCTTTAGGGGTTTTTACTGGGTTTTTAAAAGACTTCTATCCAAGAACAAAATTCCAGCCTCAAAAATCATGCAGATCTGCGTGGCTCTTGCTTTTGCCGGGGTGGGAAGAAGGTAAGAAAGGGATACAGTTAGATTATTGCTCAGGAGAGCTCACGTGGGACCATCTGAGCTCTCCTGAGGGCACCAAGAGAACCTGAACCAGCCACTCCATGCTCACCAAGCAGAGCCACAGGACACTTGCAGGAAAGCTGTCCCTGCACACGTGAGGAATGGCCCCGAAGGAGACCCAAGCCAGGCTGCAACTTGGGACAGATGGGGTTCAGCCCTGCTTTTTGACCCAACTCCCTGGTTGGCCTCTGCCATATCTCTTCATGTCCCTCTCACTCTCCTTTCCCCTCTCTCCAAGTGAGGATAACAATTTTGACATCCTCTGGGCAAGCCAGTGGGTGGATAATGTGAGGAGGGTGTAAAATCACCATTAAGATGTGGATGGGGAGGTGTGAGCTGGGCTTCTGCCCTTGGAAAGAGCTGGCCCAACACCTGCCCTCCCCAGCCCTGCCATAAATCAGGCTGTGCATGTGTCTGTGCACTGTGGGCTGGGTGCCAAGGGGACAAAAGAGCAGTCAGCAAGCCCAAGGTTATCCAAGGTGATACAAATCTTCCCAGAGCAGCTCACCTCAACAGGTTTCACCTGAAAATGGCTTATAAAAGGGCTGGGCTTGCTCAGGAGTTGGCCTAAAGCCTGTGGAGATGGATTTGTTATGCATCTACCCTCCTGCCCAAGGAGATGGGGCTTTTCCAAGCTGTGCTCCCTGCTGGGAAGTTCCTGGGATCTGGCTGCAAGGTGAGATGATTACTCCTTCCTCTTGTGACTGGATGTCACAGCTGCTTCTAAAGCAACAGAGGAAGATCCTGGTGGTGGTCAGAGAGGAAGGCTTGAGGCTTTTCTGGATCAGCAGTGGTGAGTGATAAGTCCTGCTGGGGCTGTCCCTTGGTAGAACAAGTGTTGTGATGCCTGAGGTGTCAGTGATGGAGCAGATGAGTCCCTGCAGGGCAGACTGGCCTCTGACTCTTCAGTGCATGGCCTGGCTTTGCTCTGACAGCTCAGGCTGCACACCCAGCACAGATGTCAGGGCTTGGTCCTGGGCTTGTGCTCACGTGGGAGCTGCTGTGGTGGCATCCCCGTAAGCTGGGGCTTGGCAAGTGCTCTGCCTCTGATCCGGACTCTGGTCACGCTCCAGCTGCATCCCTGGTAAGAGGCTTCAATGCCCTGAGCTGCTCTGTGGTTTGTAATTAGCTGGGTCCTGGGGAGCGGTGTGTGCTGGCGTGGAGCCTGGCTGCTGTTTGTGTACAGCACACCATCACAGGGCTCAGACCACGAGGAAACACCCATGGCCCACCTTGAGCCCAGGACATCCCCCAGACTTTACTGCTTTATCCAGCCCAGGAGCGCTCGCAAAATCCCGCTTTTCCTCCCTGCCCATTGACATGGGAATGTTTGCCATGGGAGGCAGGAACGCCGAGGCTGCCCGGATCTGCCATCTGCAGAGCCACCCACGCTGCACGTGCGTGGCACCCACTGGGAGCTGAAACCTCCCTTCCATGCCCATTGCTCAGTGCCTGCACGCTCCCACGCGGCACTGCTGCCTGGCAAAGCTGAGCTGTGCCTGCTGGAAGCTTGGGGGTCAGCTCCTGGGGCCAGGGGAGATGGGGCAGACCTGTCCATGAGCCCCTCTTGTGACTCCAGCCCGTCCCCTGGGAGAGGGGCAGGACAACTCAGAGTTTTCCTTTGTCACACTTCCTAGCCCAAGGAGCTGGCAGCGAGCAGGAAATGGAAGGTTTTTTATCTAAGCCAGCATTTCCCTATCTTTCTCATGGGTAAATTAGGAGATTACCAGATTTCTGGAGTAACCCACCCAGATCCCCCTGGTGCAAACCTTGCTTTCCCTGTTTCAAAACAGGCAGCAGATCAAATTGTCACCCATCACCTCATTCCTCCCATCCCAGTTTTGCTCATTCCCAGCACCATGACGTGTGTGAGCACCCTGGGCTGGCTGCAGACCATCCCTGCCCTACACAGCCTGCATGCCCTG